AGTCATTCAAAGTCATTCAAATAGGTGCCTGTAAGTGAAGGACTGTCGAAAGGTCACAAATTTTTTTGGGAATCGTCGAAACCTGTCATTTAAATATTGAGGCCTGTATGAACAAATCAAGTTTCAGTTCTTTATCTGTACTAGAAAGGTCAAAACTGCACAACACCAGCTTTTCAATGAGGCTACCCTGCCACACCCACTGAAATGCAATCCCAAAGTCTTTTATGTGCCAAGGTATTTTAGGTTGCATAAAGTTTTATAAAATTTTATTCATATTTGTGACCACTACAGTTATTCGTCAAATTGTTTGCAGATGACAGGCAACAAAGTTTACACCATCTTAATAACAACTGGTCAATGGCCAGTTGAGTCAAAACTGAATATTCAATACTCGCTAATCGTCATGTTTTGAGACACTGAAGAACATTCTCTAGTGGTGCCCCAGACAGATTCCTGATATCAACACAGACACGCTGCCTAAAAAGTATTCAAAGTTGTCTCTCGACCCAATGAGCAAAGTCCCTTCTGCAGTAGGACAGCTGCAGTACCATACAAAGAAAAAGTACAAAAGCGTAAAAATAAACAAAATGGTCATACCATGCAATTCTAGTGCTCGACTGTAGCAGCAGTTTCTGTGTCACATGGTGAGCTCATTGCCTCTCACCTCCACAATTAGCCCAGGGCAGAGCTCTAATTATTCATCAGGCAGAAGCAGAAAGGAGAGGCAACGGCAGACTCAAATATTTTCTGACGCTGTCATTTTACAGTCGTTCAGAGACTAGAGACTCACTGCTCTCCAGTCATGATAAATAAGTTTTGAGGCTAAAGTTAGCCGTTTTAGCGTTTCCTTCCAACGCACTTGGTTTCAAACCAGAACCTGTCCAGTACAATGTGCAGCAGGAACATCCTAAATCGCACTTTAGCTTGAAATCAATTCGCTTGAAGTCATCCAAACCTACAGATAAAAAAAAGGCACTCGTATATGCAGTAGCATGCAAAAGAGCTGGCTTTTCAGCAAGCAGAAAGGAGACCGAATTGAGGAGAAAAACAGACGTTTCATTTGTTCTCTTCAGCAGTTAGCACAGTTTTTGATTCGGTCATGTGTTCAGCTTTGCAAACTGTTGAAATATCAGGCAAGTATGGTTTATTCCAGCGTGTTCCGTACAGTAGGGAAGACAGCACTATAATGGACGCTGGGCTCTTAAACACACTTCTCCGAAGGTTAGAGGCCCCCTCCCTTGCGGCCTCCGGTATTCCTCAGACACTTAATCAATCACACGCGGGTCAGCACCACTGGAGGAGGCCTCTGGGACTCGTTCATTCCGCCACGCCACCAGCATGAGTCCTCTAACGGCTTTCCACACGCCTGGGGGGGGCATGTGTTCCACGAGTGAGCGAGCGGAGCGACCCCAAAATCTGCAAAAATCATCAGCAAGAACCATCTTCAGAGAGGCCTGACATGAATGCAAAAGGGCACTTTGTGGACTCATTCGGACGGGTCCTCATGGTGCACTTGCACAGTTGCCTCAGAACAACATCCTCTGGCCCCATTTAAAATGCTGTAATGTTGCTTCTCAATTCAGGCCTACCAAAGAAAACGGTCAAGCTGTAACAAAAGTTTGACAGATGTCTACCCTTTTCAAAGAGCTAGCAACACACAATTGAAAACTGTTTGATCGTCGCCGGGTTTGTTACAGGCCGTGCAATTTTTTTGAGTTTGGTTCCGGTGAAAATGTGTCGACTTGAAAGTGTTGTAGTGCGAAGTTTTGAGGGAATGTGGCATGTTTTCGATTTTGTGTTACTGGTTATTTGAAAAAGGTAGACATCTGACAAACTTTTGTTACGGCTTGGCCGTTTTCTTTGGTAGGCCTGTCAATTGTCAGGAACCATTTTTCAACTCCATAAATCGTACAATATAATTAAGCAAAGTAGGGTCTCGTCAGCCTCAGGTGAGGCCAGAGAAACAGGCTTGTGGAAAAACTGGTTGAAACCAGTCACACGCGAGAGAGACCGCAGAACCACTGCCAACGTGACCGCAGAGAACAAAAGCATTTTTAGATGGACCATCCAAGCATACATTATCTATGATTATCCCAGCTCTGAATGATAATCTGTCTTTTCGGAGAGCTCCATTGGGAAAACACAGCACTGACCGACAGGCGGCTCCAAAACAGTAGCTTAATTACATGTAGGGCCCACATCATTTGGCACACATCCCACACCCACTAACTTGAAGTGAATTAAATTGATATGGGGAGTTAAATACAAATTGGATGATGTAACCTAATAAGGCACGCATAGCTGCCCTTGATCTGGGTCCCAGAGCAGGCATTCCGAAGCCCGTGGTCACGACCCAGAGGACAGCGGTTATCAGCGCGAGATTAGCCTGCCGCGCAACACCTTCCACACAGCATCGGTTATCAGCAGCGACGTACAGAAAGCAGGCCTACTAAGGAAAGCGGTCGATTCACTAAAAACCTTAAAGGCAGGTACCAGGGATATAACCAACGGGGTGTCATATGAAATATAAGGTGCGTTTGTTTTTATAAGGTTTCACATCAAGTGTCCTTTTGCCAAATAAGTGGTAGAGGGGCACCCTGGATGTTTAGAACATTGTCAAAATGGTTCACTTTTGAACTTTGATCACAACTGTTTGGAAAATTCATCTTTTAAATTTCCTGGGTGAGCTATAAGGTGCTTACCAATTTTTTGCTGATTATAGCGCATCTTGTTCCCTCTACCCCCCCGTATTTTTTTTTTTTGTTCACCATCATTCTCAGTTTACCAATAAGGTTAGATAAAGTGACCACAATTTCTAAAGACCACGTCACAGATTAATGCGTAATAGCTTCCACAATCAAAACATACATTGCTAGTACCCCTCAGTGCATTTACAAACAAATTATTATTTTAATATTGTAACATTTGAGACACACAGTGCATCATTTGGCATAATTTGTTGTGAAAAAAAAATATTTTTGCTTAAAAAGCATTTATTTTCTCATGATATTCTTGACACCTGCCTTTATAATAGAATGTGGTTTGTGCCCTCAAAACTCCATATTTTAATCAACCAATTCCTTCCACCCAGGGGATTAGAGGTCCAACTTCAGGGGCCTGCAGGGCGTGCCTACAGGATAAATACACTCCCTGCAGCTCCTCTTCATAAGCAGACAACCCCACAAAACCCCCAAACCTTCAGAGTCACAACCTACCAAAACCCATTTCCTGTCATTGTGTGCAAAGGAGAGGTGCGCAGCGTTCCGTCAGAGAACGGGAAATCCCCAATGAGAACATGTTGCCGGGAGCAACCAGAGACAAACATCCAACCCTTTTTCGCTGCATGTTCCGGCCACAGAAGAGCAGGTATGGGAGGTGGAAGAGTGCACATGAAAAGTGAGGGGGGAGGCCTCCACAGATGTAGCCATAAAGCAATAATGTTGATTCTTGGTGTTCGAGAATTAATCTTCAACCTCTAAGGAGCGATATTAAGTCAACAGATAGACCATGGTAATCACAGGAAATAAATTGAGGTAGCTAGGTGTGTACTTATAGAAATAAAAATGACATATGGCACATTTCTGAATGAACAGCTTCAGAAACAGAGGAGTGGAGAGGAGCCTGCTGGTACATGCAGACCAGACGTCCCAAGGCAGTAGGCAGGTTCCCAAGTCAGATTACCTGACTCTCGCTCCACGACAGGAGTAACACCCAGTAAGGAAAAGGGACACGGGACTAATCCATCCTGACACTTCAAGGGTGTGGACATTCCACTGTAAATCAAACAGGACTATGTGCTATAATGCTCATGCTTCCCCACTACCCTATCAACATGGAATTCAAAGGGCAATATAGGGCCCGTTTACTATCGAAAAGCACAGCAAAGTTTGAACTTGCAGAACAAGTCTTCTGCATTTTGATCAGGATTCAGATTTGGAAAATAAATCAACCGTTTGAATTTTGTAACGGCATTTTCTGCTTTGATTGGAACACCGGTGGCAAGATTGTGAAATTTCAAATGCTGGTAAGGTGTCAATCACCCCTAACACATGCTCTACCCAAGATGCAAGAGGCTACACAACACTGTGTCAAGCCAATTGCAGGGTTTGGATCGAGGTAAAGGCCAAAGACAGGAAATTCAGTACAAAAATATACAGGAATGGACCGTCCGGAAGGAACAGTGAAAGACCTCCTCAACATCAGGCACCCTACAGCTTAACACCCTGCAGACCTGGGGCAGGCTCCTCCGCTCAGCCAACCGCCAAATTCCTGCCCATAGCTACAAATGCGGTTATTCATTAACGGTGGAGGCTCGAGGCATTTTGAGAGGTGTTCTGGGGCCGATGATGGATGATCTGATAAAGCACAGCTTCCATGTTCTCCCCGGCAAATGGATTCCAGACTCCCTCAGTCATCTCCAGTGAGCTGGTGTAACTAACGTGACCTCTCGTACGGAGCGCATTTTAGGCGTGACTGTTCCGGACAAAGGCGCAGTCCAGGGAGGGAGTCTCTTTTCAAAGTAAATATTTTCAGAGTAGAACGCAGAGGTGACTTCACAGGGAAAGCAGGCAGACGAGAAATGCTCTCAGTGAGTTTCAATTCACTGGGCTCGATTTCCCCCCCGCCCTCCACAAACCAATCAGAAGAGGGGAATTACCGAGGTCTCGCCAATATCACAATCAGGGCTGCAGCAATATGCCGGGTCATTCCAGCTGGACCACTTCCGCCGCATTTGGCATATATGCGCCACATGTGGAGCATATCTTGCTTCGAGGACCTCAACCATGCACCTTCTCTCCATGCAACAGTTTGTCCTGGCAGTGGGCAGTCACAGAGCAGTGCCTGGGGACCAACTCCAGTTCTAAAGCCAGTTCCTTAGTCGGGGGCACTGGTTGGAGTTTTCCTATAATGCATGCTTGTCCGGGTGGGGGAAACCGGAGTACCCAGAGGAAACCCACACAAACACGGGGGGGAACATGCAAACTCCAAGCAGGGAGGCCCTGGCCGGCTGGGGCTCGAACCCGGAACTTCCTTATTGCGAGGCAGCAGTGCTAACCACTGTGCCATCATCAATTTTCAGCATTTTAAAATCTACTTGCCGCACTGACCAGAGGGTGACGAAACTCATTTCATGCTGCGGAGCGGAGCCTTGGGGACAAACAACCAGTCGTGCAGCAATAGACAAATTTGCCAGATAGTTGAGGGGGGGGGGCCCCAAGGGACAAAAAAGTGCACTTCAACTCCGTGACAGGCCTTAATAAAGTGCCAGACCAAGGCTAGCCATTAGCAGAGTACATCGTTTCCTGGGGTCTGGAGGACAGAGTGCACCATCAGAAGCTCTGCCTGGCGGAAGAGTGATTTATCCGGAGGCCTGAAGCCTCTGTACAGGGCCACCAGGTCTAATGAGAAGGGGCCTCTCGCACAGACAAGCCATAAATTCACAGCGGAGAGAGATGGCCCTGCCGCTCCAGCAGAGCAGACCGTTTAACCGCTCAGATTTTAACTGCCTGTGAATCGCCCAGGAACCTCTTCCTCCTTGACACCCGAGACACCTATGATAGTGCCATGACTGAATCTGATCCAGAATGGGGTCTGACTGGAGGAGAGTGCCCTTCCCCTGCAGACCATAATGGCTGCAGCTGAGCCATACTGCCTGAGGGCAGGAGGAGGAACAGCATGACTCTGCATTTCTCCATGTACACTAAGGCCACCCAAGCCCTGTTCCAGCAGACCTGGGCCCACTGACCAGTAAGCATTCACTCCAAGCCAGACACAGTATCTCTCATTTAACAGCAAGAGATCCTGCAAAGTGGCCGATACGAGCAATTTTGTATGCCAAACAGGGTCGAAATGAAAACCTATAGCTAGCATGTTGGATATTCAGGAATAGGAATGAGCAGAGCTGATGTACATGGCATTTACAATAATCAAGCAAGATTCTGGAAATAGCTCGAATGGTGATCTAGTTTTGAAATGTGGATTTCTGGAAACAAGCCTCAAAAATCATCCAAATTTAGGAACTCCTCTTTAAAAGTCCTAGTTATTTCCCCCCAACCTAAGAGCACATATCTCTTGGGGAAAAATGTTAGCATACAGTCCTGAGAAGGTAGATCAAGTAAAAGAATGGCTTTCTACAGTCTCCATTGCAAATACCTCTACTACAATCCCTGCTGTTGTTTCATTTGCCAAAAAAAAAAAAAACACACCAAAAAAAAAAAAAAAAACCTCCACCCCCTTCCCAACCTTGCTTGCTTATATTTCACTCAAGGCCATGTAAAGTTTCCACAAATCATGTGTTCATTACAAGAAAGGGGCAGATGGGATCCCTGCAAACTCCATTTTTTATCATAGGCCCCACAATGAATTTGTAATACAATAAAACATGACAGCAGCCCCAAGACAGCCAGATGAGAACCATCTCTCCCGTCCTTGTGCATCAAACTTCCAGTAACGGACAGCCTGTTCTACACAAGCAGCACTGCAACTGGACTATGGGAACTCATCTTTCATCACCCCAAAGCTTTTCACAAAACCTCTCATAATTATTTTGTTACGACCACATCAGGTGCGATTCAAGATGCAAAAATCACGGTTGCCTCCATTGCAGCAGTGATAAGCAGAACAGATAAAAAGCAAGCATATTAATGCTATTCCCATTATTCATGTTCATCATAAGTTCTCTCAACATATTTTTGGAACTAATCTACATCCATACACAATCTGATTAATTCAAACATTCAAAGATAAAACATTTGTTACAATTCAGATTTTGATATTTAATTAAAATTTTGAGGAAAATTTCTACTTTTTTCACAATTATTTCACAATTTTAAGTAAATTAGCATAATATTTACTGTCCCTAAATATTAAGGAGGTTATGAATTTTGAAGGTTTGTCTCCACGGTCTCCTGGCCTAGTTCAATTTGCCTTGTGGTGGCGCTACAACACAGTGATGTTTGATTGCGCCCATAACTCCAGAACCATTTAGCCAAGAGTGAAAATATTTTTCATGCAAATTCCTTTGCTCAAAATGAACAAACTGTATACTCCCAATTTCATTAGCATATGGGTCAATGACGTGACATTGCCCGAGTGCACTATATTGGTTTAAAATAATTTTAAATGATTCATAATAAGCATCATTTTATTCTATAAAACCTGTTTAATTTGAACATATTTCCAGTTTATCATAAAAATGATATATATTTTATGTTTTGCCATCTCAAACCCTCAAAATGTCAGGTGGCGCAACCGTCCGAGCAAGTTAACACTATGTGAAATGTATTAAATATGTAATTTAAAATATGAATTAATATAATACGAATATCGGGGCATAATTTTATATTGAAAACCCCTCAAAATAAACAAAGTTCAATAGTTTAATTGTTCTTAAATTGTTTGCAAAACCAAAATACCCGCCCCCTACGATAAAGAATCCATATTAAGTTACTTTTAATACCCAGCTCAATTACAAAATAGAGATGTTTTAGGCAGAGTGGACACTCTCATGTATACTTACTAAAAAAATCACTTAGGAAAAAAAAAAGAGGGAAGTGTGTTTTTTTTCAAGAAACTTTTGGTTGCGCTACCTGACATTTTTTTGGCTGGTGAAATTGCAAATACAGTCTAAAACTGTACTAAAACCCTGTAAATGTTGTGCAACCATTAAGACTTGTTTAAACACACTCTTCCAACTTCAAAAATATACAGAATATATTTATTTGAAGATTTATTAAAAAAACATTTTTAAAAGGCTTATTTGTCATTGACCCATATTCCAAAATGTACCACCGTTTTTGATTTTGAAAAATTTTTTATCACAAAAACTGCTTTCGCGGAGTATTTCACTAATATTTTTGCCCACTTTCATTAAATTTTGCAAGAAACTAGAGACGCTAAATCTAAGCAATTATCAAAAATATTGACACAAACAATATGGTGCAACGCATCAATGGTCAGCATGTTTTACATAAACCGCTGCAGCCGAACCTATAAACACTTAGATACACTATTTCAGGCTTGATTTAGTGCTGGTAATCAACTGTAGTGCTGTTAAGTCCATAGGCCGTGCTACCAGTGGCGTGCCGTCAGATGTCAGGAAGGCCTTCAGTAACATCACCCTTTCCCGCATAATTGCTCTTAAACTGTTTGCGATCAGGTTTGCCTGATTAACAATCAAAGAGTTAATTAACTGAACAACCACCACCAATGCGTGACACGTAATGATTAAGAAATGCTAATGACAAAGCGATTGGCTATGTTGATATAATTGATGTTAGACTCCGATTTTTAATATTGGATGACAATCTGCAAAAAATCAAAACCTTCGCTGATTTTCTTTGTCCAGCAATTATTTTCGTTATCACTCAGCTGTGCATCGTACCTAACAACGCACTTTAGCTGTCACTACATTCAGACTATGGAACGGATTCTCATGGCTTATTGCTCATTGAACCTCGCAAACTAATTTACGCAAATCCAGAAATTATAAAGACGTAGGCTATTGATATTTTCCGTAGTCATTGATGTGTGGAAGTAAATGCCGTATAATTTCGTAGTGCAATGTATAACAAGGCTTTCAAAAATAAATTAGATTCTTGTCAGTTCCTCCAATCAGTCCGAGCAACTGTTTCTAGTCGGGGAGGTAAACTGCGAGAGGTGTCTGTCATTAAGAAGTGAAAGGTGAGGTTTTTGCTGGCCCTGTGTTTCTGCCGATGGACCGTCACTGCGTGCTACAAAAGTAACACTGTATTAATGCCTGCATTCCTTCAATCACATGTAATGTTCCAGATTTGCACAAGGTAAAGTTGTGAAAGCATTTAATTATGTGTCTAGTCCATGTGGCGCCAGCTTCAGGCCGAAGCATGCGCCCACAACTTCTATTAGTAGAAATGGCACACCTTGGCCATGGCAGTGCCCTGTAACAGTGAAAACCACAGGCCAACAGTTCTGTTCAAGAATAAATGCTCTCAAACAGCTCAGGTTGTTAAACTACCCCAAAAATGGGCTATCAAGCTTAGAATTGACCAATCAACATGAAACTAGGCATGTTGAGATATTCCTCAATTCGAACCATGCAAAATTTAAAGTGAGTCTGCCAAAAGGAACACTATAGGAAATAGGTATGTTTAAATTACTGTCCCATGGGTATGCCTAACAATTACTAGTATCCCATGCATCATCTCATCATGCCCCTTTTTAAGGTGAGCACATACTGACAAATTTTTCCAGAAAATTTAGCCTTTTTTAGTTACTATTCTCCATGTTTTCTGACACACACATTACCATTTTCAAATATTTTTCATCAAGAAACTTTGTGCAAACTTTAAAACGATCAGCTTATTGAAGTCATTCATGTCTGCATTCAACTTCAATATCTATTATAGTTTTAGGATATTTAACCTTTTATGGCTTTTTCATAATGGTAGTCCAAGGGTGGAAGGTTACAGGATATACATTACAGGTTTTAACTAACCAATTCAGTTTCACAAATAACCACCTTTTCTACTTCTTATTACAATAACAACACAATTCAATAAATTATACAGCTCTACTGCATATCCAAACTGCAGCTGAGGGCTGTAAGAGTTCATGAGGAGCCAAGCCACAGCAGGCCAAATGTAGCAGCTACATGAATTTGTGTATAATTAAAACCTGGCCAGGCCAGCATCAATTCTGCCGAGCACCCAGACATATGCCCCAACTGGCCACTAAAGAAAACAGAGGCAGCCGATTTTGCCATCGCCCTCAAAACACACAGCGTAACTGTCTGAGCCATTAAACACAGGCCCAAGATTGTTCTGCCAGGACAATGTTGTGCCTTCTTTAATTGTGATGACTAGTGATAACACAGACACAACACTTTTAACCATGCTGTACTGCCCGGCTAGCCAGGGTTCTCACCAGAAATTTTTGACAGCGTAGTGGGGTGGGACATCACCCAAACCGGCCGGGGGTTAGGGGGCCGCCGAGGCCCCCAACGGGGTACAGGGGCAGAGACCTGGTGGGGGGCCTGGGGAAGCAAAGCCCCCCTGAAGCTCTGGCAATTTATAGTTTTTTGAGGCAAATTTGAC